AACCATTTTGGCTATATATCAATTATAATCATAATCGATAGAACCCTGCAGGGGTGATTGGTATCGATATATATCCTTCTGGTTAATAATCGATATATATCTCCTTATAAAATTTCTCGATATGGGTCTTCTCCTTTTTCTATTGCTTCTAAAAAACCAACTTGTCTCTTGTTTTTAGTTCAAGTCCTATATACTGACTGATACCTTCATCATATTGCAGTCGTTTCTTGTGCAGTGCCCTTATTTGCGCTCTTGCTTTTTCTTCTGTGATTAATTTTGTTTTAGCAAATTCTGCTTTAAGTTGTTCTGTGATAAACTCTATATTATATTTTTCAGTCTTATTATCATATACTTCTGCTATTGTTTTAGCTTCTTTTGGCCTCGGTCTATATATTCTAGAATTTTCTATTACTGGTATATCTATGTGACTTGTTGTTTTTCCATCATTATTATTTGTTGTTGTTGATTGTTATATTCATTTGTTGTTTTTGTTAGAATTTGTCATGTAGCTTTTGTCGTGTTTTCTTTGTTTATTTTTCATTACGTGTTGTGATTCTTGTATTACTAAAACAGATCTGCAATTTAGGGTCAAGGCTGATTCCCCAACTTTTTGCAAAGTACAAAAAAATACTGATGATATTTTATAACTTCTTCTATTTCTTTGTCACTTCTGTTTTTTTTAACTCAAGTTTCTAAGAGACTGAGTATTTCTTGTTGTCCTCTTTCTCTTTCCTTATAGCTTAAAGTTTAGTTTCTAAAGACTTTTGTGTATTTTTTGTAGTTTTTAGTTAATTTGTTTTTCCAGAAATTTGTGTTTTGATGATCAGAGAAAAGAGTTATCTATGTGTATTTTCTATATAAGTTTCTGTGTATTTCATATTTCTTTATATTTAAGACTATTTTGTTGTTGATTTTGCTATACAGCTTTATTATCAAATAATATATACATTATTTGATTGTTTTATTTGTAAATTTCAAATTAAGTTTTCAATATATAATATACCACAAGTATCTACAAACTTATTAATACACAATTAGTTATATTAGATTTAAAGTTTTTTGGATTTGCTTATTTTTTTAAGATGTTATATTTTTTTTTTGTTTTTTTTTGAGCTTATTTATTATTTGAAATTGCTTATTTTTTTTTTTGGTATCTACTTTTCACTATACTTTCTCTTCTTGTACTCAACTACTTCTTTATTATTGACTTCTACTTCTCTTACCCACATATAAAACTGCAATATTCAAGACTTGTTCAATAAATTAAAGTAAAGTTTAATTGTTAACCAGTTAAAAATTTTATTTATTTGGTTTTAAAAATATTTCATAATTTGTCATAATATTGTTATAATCTATTGTTTTCTGTTATTGTTATTAAATTATAATCTGACTCAAAATTAAATTCAATTACCTGTATTAGATATAATTAATCAATTATATGTATATATATCTAAACTTATTGCATAATATTATAAAAATTTAATATTACATATATATAAAGATCTAATATTATATAGTATAATCAACATAACCTAGCACAGAAAATTAAAATATTTTAATACATCTAAATCAATATATTTTTAGTAATACACACTGCGAAGCAGTCTAAAAAATGAAAAACAAATTGGAGAAGTGTTAGACTACCTATTTTTTAAAATTCTCTGTTATTCTACTCTAATCGATCTATCAACTAAGTTCAAAATAGCTATTAATCAACTAAAAACTCTTTATTCAATATATAGGATAAACAAAGATCTATTAGATTTTTTTTAGAAATTTTAAAAATGATGATAAGGTTAAAGTTGAGACAAAGAAGTTAATAACCTATCTTTCTTTACCTCAAGAAGTAAAAATAAGTTTTTTATTGTAGTAAAAAGTAAATACCTCTAATTTTTTAATCTTAGCTAATATTGCAACAAATTATCTTGCTTTACAGGCTGTTTGTGTTTCTTGTAATAATATTTTTTCTGTTATAAAAAATATTGTAAATATTACTAGAAGCAGTATTTATAGAGAAACAGGCAGAATTTCTCTATGCTTAAAAGATTGGTTCAAAGTAGAAATAATTGAATAAAATAGATTTATTTTTTCATTTTATCGTTATCGTATATAACATTATAATAAAATCAGTTATATGACTTTTTAATAGAATAACTGCACTTCATATTAAAAACATTCATAATTAGTAAAATAAAAATTCTAACATTGTTATTATGTAAAAACACCTTTTATTAAACATTTTATGCTTATAGAACTAAAAAAAATGGTTGATATTACAGAAGGAATTAAGGATGAAAGATGGCAACTTTTCTATAGTTTTTGATATTGCGTGCAGATCTTAAAAATTTTAATTATAAAAAAATCCGACTAGTAATTTTCATTATTCTCCTGATTGGACCTAGCTGCACCAATTTTTCACGGATGATTCTCGATTTTGATTGGCTAACGGCGACGATCTCTTGATTCTAATTGGCTAAGAGCGATGATCAAAAATTTTGGCCCAAGTTACTCAAAATTTTACTAATGAAACCACAGCCGCACATTAAGTAAAAAATATTCCTGGACTAATTTTACCATTGTTTGGGCCTATTTCTCTAAAAATTTCCATTTTGGGAATGAAAAAGTTAAAAAGTTAATTCTGGCCAAAAATTATATAAACAATTATGTAATGCGGGCCAAAATTTCATAGATCATAGCCGTTAGCCAGTCAAAATCAAGAATCATCCGTGAAAAATAGGTGCACAGCTAGGTCTTTTATACACCTGCACTATGTTTGTAAATTGATATGCATTAGACACCCCAGTCATTCGTGCTGTTTCAGCTTGTGTAAAGTTATATCTTAACTAGTTTGAAATAGGCTGAAATAGTTTTGGAAGCAAGTATCACAGGTAAAACAATAAACCTTTTCTACAGGTATTCTTTCAAAGATCTTTGGTGTGATATGCAACTTTTACAAATATTTTCTATAGGTTTATCAACCACCAGACCGTGTAATGGAGAAAAGTGACATTTTTAAAAACGCTTGTAACTCAAAATTTTGCTTATGAAACTACCCTTTGTGCTCTAACAAAAAAAAATTGTTATGAAATTTTGAGGTAGAGACGGTCTTTGATACTCTTCTACCTTTAACACTAATCCTTATTCTAAATTATTATGTTTCAGTTGGTTTGGGTCTCACGTTACATATCTTATATAATGCATAATAGATTTCTGTTTAGAATACCACAATAAAAGTTGCATATTACACTAGAAGTTTTGTAAAATTTTGTATATAAAAATTTTTTAGAAAACTGCAAGAAAAGGCGATATCTAATAAAGGTTTTCTATCATAATAGATTTAGAAAATTTTTATAGTTCTACCTGTGTATGTACTGTATAATACAAACAATAATAAATACTCTAATTGAGATAATAATTTAATGAATCCCTTGTTATTACATACAGTATATTTCGCTTATTTTCACTCCAACGCCAAATTTCGTAGCGTTAATTTGTTGACTGTTAAACTATTATCTAAGTTCAAGTAATCGATAATGAAAAGTAGAGAAACACGCGGTGCAATATTACTGAGATAAAAAGAACATCAATTTTTTATAGTTTTTTGATCAATTAGTGCTTTTTTTCTTATTCGATGCTATAATTTTGACATCTTGGCTTGAATATTGCAATAGTTGCTTAATTCGTCACAACAAACTGTTTTTATTATTGTAATGATGATTACATTCATTATACACACCGCGTAAATGATAATCTTGGTTTGACGTATCTCAGAATCGAATTTATTTGTTTAAAATATAAATTTTATACCTGACCAAGTAGTTTTTGCCAAAGTATATGCCTTATGAAATGTATTTCAAACGCAAACATTAACGCTAAACTATAAATTCCAAAACTTCGTATAACTTAATTTAGCATCAAAATTAATTTAATTATGCTAATAGACGTTGATTAGGGTGTCAAGAACCGATTTTATTTCCGGACATTTTATAGGTTCACCATCCCAACACAGTTTGCAAAGATTAATCAATATATTATGCTGGCGTTCTTATCGCAGTTATTTCACTTTCTCCCAAACATAAAACGGAATGGGGTTGTCGCTAGAGATTTCCCAAAGAATGACTCCCAAACAATAAATGTCTGATCTCATATCATGTTTACTGCATATGAAAGATCATTCAAGTATTGAGGTTCTATATAACCTGTACTTTCTGAGGGATTAAATGCAAATCTTGTTTAGGGCAGATCAATTAATTTTCTGTTTAACATGACCCCCCTCAGTTTTTTAAACATCGTATACTGGGTGGGTGAAAAGTCCTTTTTTTGCTATCTCCGCTAATATTAAAGTTGTTTAATACCCGGGTGAGCGAAAAGTTCTCAGACAGAATATTTTGTTAACATTAAATAACGTATTGCAAATACATTACGTATATATAGATTTATAAAAGCTTTTAATATTAGCGAAGATAGCAAAAAAGGTCCTGTTTAGGACCTTTTTACCCACCCGGTATAAAAAACCAATCAAATTACAGTATTAGTTTTTTTTTTTTTTTTTACAGTTGATAGAATTATTGTATTTTTATTAATTTGTTTTTTTATGCCCATCCCCAATGCTTATGAGCTATTTTATTTTATGTTAAACAAAGAATGGCCTTAGACAAATAAAAACAGTAATTGTCATCCTTCTTTCGTGTCCCAAGAAGTTTCTGTAATGCTGAAAATTTAAATAAATTATTCATATAATTATATTTATACAGTCGATATTGTTAATTGCCTGCCATGTGTCAAGAACTTATCTATTCATTTAGGCAATTATGCATTTAGATTATACCATTTTTTGTGCTAACTTTAAAACTAAAATTTTTATGCATTTAGACAATCAAAAAAATTTTTGATTTAAATATTACTCTATCAATAAATTATTGAATAATGTTTTCACGCAAACCTTTATTTTTTAAGGTATTTATTATCCCATGATTTTTCCTCAAAGATCTATATTCTTCTTAAGCAGCTTTAGCAGTGTCACCCAAATAAATCAAGCAATATGTTGATTTTTCAAGTTTGTTCAAGAGACCGATGCAAAGATTTTTTAATGCTCTAACAGAGTTTGTTGAATTAGGCTGATTTAAAAGGTTAAAGTCTTTAAGGATTGATCCCATTTCTAGGATCGCCATTTAATGTTGTTTGTAGAGTTCGAAATATTCACGTGGAGTATCTATTATAGGTGTTTCTCTATTTACCTTGATACATGAATTATAATTTTCAAGTCCAAATGAACTAAACGGCTTTCGATCACTTGATATTTCTAAAAGTATAAATCCCAAGTTAAAGACGTCGGATTTTGATTGCGTTCGTATGTGCAACCTCTGATGCATTGAGAGTTAATGTATGCCATTTCAGAAATCGGATTGGAATCTGAGGTTCAGCTATTTTCTTTAATAAACTGCATATTAAAATTTCTCGAGTTTAAACTTCGCGTAACATATAATTATATTCTATCATTAATATACAGTCAAAAAGTTTAATTATTACTAAATGAAATTGCACAAATAAATATTATTCATACTTGTTTTAAAGATCTTTGAATATTATTTTCATCGAAATTTGTTTTGACAAACATCCAATTAGAATCATACACACAATCTGAAAAGCCTGTCAACGAAATCATCAGGGACACGGAAAAATATAGATCGATATAAATCGATATTTTTAGGCCAAATCATAGGGAAATCGATATTTTTACAAATTTTTATGCAGTGTAACTACACCACTTCGGGCAAAATTAAAAATATAATTTGGACCTGGCAATATGAATTTGGCCAACCTAAACTGTCGGCAGATTTCGAAAATGTAGACAATCAACAAACAAAAATTTCCGTTAACTTCCCGAAAAACATGAACTTGGATACTCCAGGGGAGAACAGGAGGGACCGTCCCAAATAAGGAAATGATGATCCCGATCATGCATATTGGTTTAGCCAATCAAAATTGTAAAT